AATAATAATAATAATAATAATAATAATAATAATAATTTAAAAACTTACATTTGTTGCAGTGGATAACTCAGGATTACAGTAAATTTACGCAGCTTTCAACAAATAACCTGAGCCATAGTCATAGTTTTAACCAATCAGTGCAGAGTAGGGCAGGTCAGGTGAAGCACCACAGCTCCTCCTGTCCTCACCGAACATCAGGACCTGTTCACATCCCCTCCTCCCAAACTGAGCTGCTGAACCTCTAATATCATTACATCTCCATGTATTGTGGACATGAATGTAGGTTAAACATTTAATCAACTTTCTTTCATTGATTCTGACTCAACAACTTCTATGTTGTTCAGTTTTTCTTTGAATTTACATGATATTAAACCTGTTTATTGGTAACATTTTGTGGAAGCAGCTGGTAATTGCGCATGGTTTTTAAATTTGAGGAAATTGGTACTGGAAAGTCCTTGAAAGGTCCTTGAATTTGTTGTTGACCAAGGTGTTGAAACCCTGGTCATAAAATCACATATTTTTTAAACTTTGGCTTTATTTTGAATTAAATTTTCTTGTCGTTGCTAACTCTGTTCTGTTCTTTAATCCTTCCAGGACAGTGCCAGCGCAGGAAACCCTTTAAAAGTGAAGCCTTCCTATCAGTCCTGCAAAGACTGCCTACGTCTGCCACAGGGGCGGCGCTGCGACCGCCCCGCAGGAGGCCGCTCCCACCGCATCAACCCCTCCCGCCACTGCTCCGTCCCCTCCATTTGCATAGATCCCCCCGGGACGCATTTCCCCTCGGCCCCGATGTTCCACTCCCTGTTGACACCCGCGGTCCTCCAGCCTAACCCGGTGCAGCCCTGCGCCACCTGCACCCTCGGCGAGGCGTCGGCTCCTCTGAGCGACCACCAAAAACTTTTCTCGCCCATGAGCTGCGAGGAGGAGACGCCTCCCGACGGCGGCTCGGCGCCGGCGGAGGACATGGACGAGCAGCAGGAGGTAATATCAAGTACTGAGGCCGACGGGTTGAGGTTCGGTGGTGCAGGCGAGCTGCGAATGCCCGGACTGGGAATCAAATTCGGCGTTGAGCTGAAGCTGCCGAGCCTGGCCATGGAGAGCCAGCTTCCAGTCGGGCCTCTGCCTTAAACCAGGACCTCTCGCGTGGACTCGATGGAGTTAACACTGCCTCAACGACTACGACGGCTGCAGAACATTTGATGACCCCTGCTGTGATGACCTCTACTGTAACGCCCTTTTCTTCATAGCTTCATCCGAGTCTCCAGTTTTCCCCGTACATCTGCAGGGAGGCGCTCGGCATCAAAGATCCAGATGAGGCTGGTCCTTGTCGCCCGTTGATAAAGACCTGGACGGTTCTGGCCAACATGTTCTTCACCTGCCTCTTAAATCTAAAATATCTGGGCTCTTTAAGCCTTGCTGCCCCAGCACACATGCAGGTTCACTCCATCCCAGCGGCGCCGCTGCCGTCTTCCCTTCAGCAGACAGGTTTTTGTTGGATCTAGTTCTCGTTCCAGACTGTGCTACACTCATTTTAAACCCATCTGAAGTAACTGTATGCTGCATGTTTTCAGTACAACTCGGCAACAGTGCTCATTAAGGCAAATATTTACAGCTAGGCTCATTAGCACATCTAAAACATGTTTCATTTTCGTTAGCAGCAGCTTTTGCATCATTACAGGGAAAGCATCGTTTTACGTGACCAGCTCTTCTCTGTTAGGAGTCCTGCTTCAGTCTTCAAGCATTTTCTGCTGTTTTGGTCAAAGCTGATTCTGTCCTCTGTTCCCCGAGTCCAGTTCACTCTGATCTCCTCCATTAGAGTTAATTCAATTTTGTACTTGCAGTGCTCAGTTTAGCCCATGAATGAGTGCTGCAGGGTCACACTGAACACATGCTTAACAAATGTCAGTCATTTTTAATTTGAAGTTGTTTTTTGTTTGTTTTTTTGTCTTTCAAATAAGAAAGAAAAAAGAAGAGTCAGATTCCAGAAACTAAAACAGATGCAGTGCTACTGATCAAAATGTAAAAAACTTCATTTTATCGTCTTTTAACTTATACAATTAGACACTTGGAGTGAATTTTTCTCACATGTCTAAAAGAACACTAGAAGAGAAAACCATTACAGAAGTCAAACCTTAAACCAAAACTGGATTTTCTTCATGTTTTTGATCTCTTTTCCAGTTGCAGTTCTCCCCCTCAGAGGCCTTTCAGATAAACAGTTCAGCCGTTTGAACTTCTTGACGTAAATGTAATTTATTGTTCAGTGAGCTAAATTAAAATTTAAGTAAACGTAATTTGTAACATTCCTAACTTCTTTCAGGAGATTCCCTTCATATTAAAATACAATAAAAATCCACCTTTTATCCAACAGCTGAAGCGTTTAGGATGCAGGTTTTGGCTTCCAGACGATCACTTTGTTTTCATCTTCTCCCTTCATTGGACTCTTTACTCATTTTGTGGCTCCACAGTGGGTTTTTATCTGGTAATTTATGATGCGCTCTTATTGTTTAAGGCACGCTGGGTGTGCTGCTGCTGACTGTGTGCAGGAGAAACGTGTGGGAATTGAACTGTGTTCCGAGCACTTCAGGTTAAAAAGAAAACTGTGGAAAGAACGAATGACAATTATTTCCCTGTATAAGAGGTTATTTTTCTTTAATTATTATTTTTCATTAGAGTAGCAGAGCACCACAAATCATCCTGTGTTCCTTTTCCTCCTTAAACTCAATCTGATGGAGCTAAAAAAAAAATTTTTTATATATTTAGTTTTGTTTGGGTTTATTTTTCTTGCCATGTTCAGGGAGTTACTGTTGTCACTGATGTCAGCATTATTTGACAAAAAGAAAAGCTGCAACTAAGTGTTACCATATTTTGGGAATAAATATTCAGTCTTTACAGAACTTTGGTTTTAAAAAATTCTATCACTTTAGTTTGGTTGGGTCGCAAACACTGATCACTAATTACACACAGCGACATCTCATGGTTGAGTTGCGAATTTTAACCAAATTCCTTCCTTTTTAATTGTGGGGGAAAAAAGGCAGCTGTAGAAAATGTGAGAAATTGCAGTCAGTGTTATATTTTTCTGTCTGGGCTATTGTGTGAAAGTTTCCTCAGCATATTAGAAACATGAACTTGTCTTCACTACATTTAACAGTAAACACTGGAGTCTGTTTAATCAGCAGCTGCTTTTGGTGTCATTTTAAAATGACACGAATGGTTCATAACTTACAAGAAATTTAAGTAAAAAGGCTGAATAATGTAAAATGTTCAAATTTTGTTTGTTTGCTCTTATTTATTGTATTTTTTCTGCAGGTATGTGTTCATGTAAACTTGAGAAACTTAAGATTTTTAAACAAAATAAAGTCACAATAAAACTGCTTAAAGAAAGTCAGGTGGCACAAATAGTTTGTGTCAAATCTGGATCATTTTAAACTCATTTTGATTTTACTCTTTATTTTTTTATTAGTAGGAATACTTATCATTTTCTAACTTAATTTAGTTTTTGCTTCTGTCTCAGTTTAAAGTGACTTTTCACAACATCAAAATGATAATTCAGATCATTTTTTGTGGGGTTCTGTGAAAACAAATAATATTTTCTGTGCTGCAGATGACTCTTTGGACGACCTCTGTTGTTATTTCTGACTGAACTGATGAGCTAATGACCAGTCCAAGTGAGACCACGCTAAAAATAAATTAACTCTTCACTATCGTTACATAATTATTCATGTGAATTATATTTTATTAACATTTAAAACAGTCAATTTCACAGTTTCATTTTCTTTACTCTCTGATTAATTGAAAGCACAAGGTGCGGCAGCTAGCTGTAGCACTTCCAGCAGTTTACTAATCATGTTTTTGCCAGAATAAACTTGTAATTTGAATTTAAGGGTAGTGTAAAATTATTGTAAAATAGAATTTTAAAGAATGTCAGTAATCCACTTTGGGTCTTCTTGACCCTGTTCAGACTAGCTGTGAGCTTTTCCATCCTGTCAGAGTTCAACTCAATATCTCCAAAGAGTTATCTACTACAGGTAAGATATTGTTTGTAACCTTTTCTTTAAAAAAAAAGAAACACTAAACAAGTCAACCTGAAAAAATATGCTGAAAGGTGTGCAGCCGTGTTGTCATTTTACAGCTGTTTGTTTTAAAACTAACACACCTCATGCTTTAGACCAACATGTAAACACTTTCTGATTTATTTTCCCGACACATTAACATTTCTGACTGATGAGCTGCTCCACATTCGTGTGATAAAATCCTTGTGTCCCTGGACCACAGCACCACATAACTTTGGTTTGTTTTTTGTAATTTTTTTTTTTTTTTTTTGCTTTTTCTATTGAAGTGCCTTAACTTCAGCCATAGCTCTGCTGGAAAAGCACAGCAGCCTTCGCAGAGCTTCTGTGAGCGTGTTGATGGTATTTGTACTTTCCTTCCCTCCCTGAGTAGTTAGGCTTCTTGCAGTGTTTCACTTGGCACATAAATACTGTATGCAAACGCACGTTACGCACACTCTAGCTTCCGCTCCATCTGCACTCACTAATAGACTTCCACTTATTATTGGCCAATGATATTTCCGTGTTTGAAATTGGGATGGCTGAAGAACTTTTATTTATCGGAATGAGAAGTATCATTTGCATTGAAATATTAGATAATTTGTCTTTAAAATGTACCAGTCTGTGCGCATCTTTCCTCTAACCTACATTAGCTTGCAGACGTGGTCAGTATGAAGTAAGAACAACAATGCTACTGTGTATTAAGAAGTACTCCTGAGTTCTTGTGTTTTATATTGTATCTTAAATGACCCATCCAGGCAAGTGATTGCATTTAAAGTGACTTTTTTTTTTTTCAGTTTTTAACTGGATAAATTCCAGGAAACAGGCATCAAAAAGACAATCCAGTTAAAAGCCGATTATTGTGGACGCTCAGACGTGTTATAATTTAAAGAAGTCTTTGTATTTATTGAGCACAAGTCTATCCCAAAGCTTGTAAGGCTGAGTGGAAAATGGGGGGGGGGGGGGGGGCTCCCTGGGAGTGAAGTGAAAATCTGTACTTTTTTTAAGTAATTTTATGTACTATATTGTACAGTGCCACTGTATGTGTTTGCACTTTTTTTTACGTTTTGTTAAGTTGTGTCCGATGAAAAACAAAAATAAAACTTTTTTTGCATCATCTTTGCAATGAATAGATTTTTGCATGGCTAAATATAGCAGCTAATTCTCATATTGTAAAAGGAGTGGGCATTTTGGTTCTTTGTTATAAACCCCTGAAATAAAAGATTTTAATGCAACAAATAACATAGGTGTCAAAACCATTTGGCCTTTCTTAAGCTTTTATTTGGCCCCAAAGATAATATTTTGAGAGTAAAGTAGGATTAGCTTTTCCTTTTGCTTAAAAAAACTGTGCATACTGTACTTAAATTAAATTTTATGACATATGGGCAACTTTAAAGCTGTGAAAATAATGTTTTCTTTTGTTTTTGGACTCATCGTGTAGTTGAGTTTGACGCCTCATTCTGTGGAAATTAAAGAAATAGTTAAACTAGTTAAGCTCCAAGTCCGAAGCCCTAAAACAGATCTGTCTGCTTTGACTGTCTCTTTTAGTCAGACGGACCAAACTGAAAACATTTTTATTGAATTATTCAAATGAAGTCAGGCTGACATGCTGGAGGAGCCTCCAGATGGGCCAAATCCTACAGGACGACCAGCAGGCAGAGCATCAGCTTCAGTAAGTATACGGTTCTTTTAGAAATTTTGATTTGAATTAAGTGGTTTATTTTTTTTATTTTTTATTTTTTTTAGATATAAAGACTAGATTGTCAATTCTGCTTTTAATTTGAAATGCTAGGTTAGGAAAAAGTTTTTAAGAGGTGATTTCTGAAGTTAAAAGCATTAAAAATGTGCAAAGCATGGTATGTTATACAGGTGTGTTTATGTACATGGGTCAGAGGGAGACTGTTTTTTAAGTTTGTTCACTGCATCAATTACCTGCTGCAGCGCACCTTTGTCTCTTAGTGCCTGTGAGCACTGCTTTACATGACAGCATGTAAATTTTACCGTCCGAGCAGATCTGATGTCTGAAACATTTCCATTTGAGCTCCCAGCAGAGAGCAAACGCTACATCAGAAGGACAGAGGGTGGAAAAAAACAAGGCTCTGTTCTGAGACAGAGATAATAGTTTGGGTACTCTTAGTCACAAGCCTCTTATAAATGGTTTGCTTACTGTTGGAGGCATGAGAGAGAGGGACAGGAAGGTGGGGGGAGGTGGGTTCACAAGCCACAGATGCCTCCCACTGCTGCCGTTCTAACCCATCCACTCCAAAATAATACTTTACACATGCAAAAACTTCCTGTTTGATTAAAGAAAAAAACAGGATGTACAGGTTTTGACAAATGACTCAACAAGTGAATATATTTTGAGTTCTTAAACATTCAGTTATACAAACAGGAAAAGCCTTTCTGCAGACTTTCCGCATACCATAAGGAACCCTCTCCTTTGGGTACCATAATGAAAATTTATGGGCAGGTCAGAGAATAAAGTCATTTTAATTTATGACTTAAAAAAAGTGAAGAGTCTCTGCACTTTGAGTTTAAAATGGCTAAACCAGAAGACAGAACGCACACACTGAAGATGTTCCCCTCACTACAAAACCAGTCGTGTCATGAGAGGAACCTCATTCTAATATTTGATGTGGTAGTAGCTGAGAGTCATTCACAACACTTGTTCTGGGTGAGACATCAGTCACATCAATATAAGATTGTTTCCTAAGCTTAAAACACCTGTAACTCATGTCTTAACATTAACGATCTTAGTCAAAAACTAAGGTGGCAGGATGACATGCATTTCTTATAGGGACACTATAGGCCTTTAATTTATACAGTAAATTTCCTATAAATGTGCAGCCAAGAGCTGTCAATAGAAAGAGAGAGGACAATAATAGGGGTGCAACGATACAAAAAATTTACTATTCGGTTCGGTTTGATACTTTAGTCTCACGGTTCGATATATTTTCGATATAACAAAAGAGAAATGTCAATGCTTTTTTTAACTTGTAATTTATTTAAATTAATTATGAACAGTTGTTTAACCTCAAAATACAGTTTTCAAATTAAATGTTGCTGAAACAGCAAGTTTCTCAGTGGACATGCGCTCAAAAATGCAGCCTAGGTGGAGTAGTCGAACACAGATCCACTGATCCTTCAACACAGAGCATCTTCAGAAGACATGTTGATAAAATAAATGTTAAAAATCTGTATTGTTCGATACAAGTGTGTGTTGAA